TCCCGTGGCAATAGAGAGTAATTCGACTGAAATAATGATCTATGTGAATCCGCCGTCATGGCCTAAATCTTGGCCGGCAACTTCGTGGAAAGTAAACGATGAAACAAATACAGTGGAACAAGTGTGTGCGCGTTGTAATAGGAACTTCAGAATGACACTTGACTTGTTCAGGAAGATTGCTTCCACCACTAGTAAATTAGAAAAAAAAAAATCCACAACAAATGAAAACGCTATGGGAACTCATGAGATTACCACACATTCTCTTTGCTCAGGAAGAGATTTAATAAACTGGAGCAGGAATGTTACAAAAGTTTCATTGAATTTTCTAAGAAAAAATTTAAACTCTTCCAAAATTTTTCTGTTCGAGTTCTTTACCTGGACTGATGACATATAAAAACAGAACTCTCTCTAGGGATGATGAGATCTGTGACGCATTTAATAATTATTTCCATTCAGTTTTTATACTATCTTGTTGTCACCGTTCTGATCATCTGCGCTTTCTGATCATTGTAACCCTCTGACGCCGGGTCATTTTGTGATTGGTCGTTCGCTGACAGCGTTGCCAGAACGAGATCTTCAACAACATAATTTTAAACATTTGTCCAGATTTTACTGCACTGAGCAATTGCGACAGCACTTTTGGGCTCGTTGGAGCAAAGAATATGTTTCGGAGCTGCAACATCGAACTAAGTGGCGTTCTGGTGCAGGCGTATTGGACCTAGGAACTTTAGTGATCAAGGACGACAATCTTCCTCCATTAAAGTGGAAATTGGGAAGGATTGTGGCTGTACATCCCGGAACTGATGGTATTGCTCGTGTGGCGGATATAAAAACCTCGACCGGTGTGATCCGAAGGGCTTTCAGCAAGATATGCCCATTACCGGTATCCACATCATCGACTTCTTGTTGAAAGCTCGGCTTTCAACGCCCGGGGGGCATGTTGAAGTTAAAACCTCTTTCAAGAATTTACTCCACGAGGACACGCCACGAAAAAAGAAATAAAATAAAAAAAGAAAGTCCATTAACATTCATTGTTTTAATCTTTAAATATCTTCAGCATAACGTAATAAAAATAAAACCACCGTCAAAGACGCTTGCCTCCAGGATTCCTCTACAAGAATTAATACATCGTCTTCAGACATACGTATTATCTAAAGATACCATGTGGTCTCGTGGTTATCCCGTGGCAATAGAGAGTAATTCGACTGAAATAATGATCTATGTGAATCCGCCGTCATGGCCTAAATCTTGGCCGGCAACTTCGTGGAAAGTAAACGATGAAACAAATACAGTGGAACAAGTGTGTGCGCGTTGTAATAGGAACTTCAGAATGACACTTGACTTGTTCAGGAAGATTGCTTCCACCACTAGGAAATTAGAAAAAAAAAAATCCACAACAAATGAAAACGCTATGGGAACTCATGAGATTACCACACATTCTCTTTGCTCAGGAAGAGATTTAATAAACTGGAGCAGGAATGTTACAAAAGTTTCATTGAATTTTCTAAGAAAAAATTTAAACTCTTCCAAAATTTTTCTGTTCGAGTTCTTTACCTGGACTGATGACATATAAAATCAGAACTCTCTCTAGGGATGATGAGATCTGTGACGCATTTAATAATTATTTCCATTCAGTTTTTATACTATATTGTTGTCACCGTTCTGATCATCTGCGCTTTCTGATCATTGTAACCCTCTGACGCCGGGTCATTTTGTGATTGGTCGTTCACTGACAGCGTTGCCAGAACGAGATCTTCAACAACATAATTTTAAACATTTGTCCAGATTTTACTGCACTGAGCAATTGCGACAGCACTTTTGGGCTCGTTGGAGCAAAGAATATGTTTCGGAGCTGCAACATCGAACTAAGTGGCGTTCTGGTGCAGGCGTATTGGAACTAGGAACTTTAGTGATCAAGGACGACAATCTTCCTCCATTGAAGTGGAAATTGGGAAGGATTGTGGCTGTACATCCCGGAACTGATGGTATTGCTCGTGTGGCGGATATAAAAACCTCGACCGGTGTGATCCGAAGGGCTTTCAGCAAGATATGCCCATTACCGGTATCCACATCATCGACTTCTTGTTGAAAGCTCGGCTTTCAACGCCCGGGGGGCATGTTGAAGTTAAAACCTCTTTCAAGAATTTACTCCACGAGGACACGCCACGAAAAAAGAAATAAAATAAAAAAAGAAAGTCCATTAACATTCATTGTTTTAATCTTTAAATATCTTCAGCATAACGTAATAAAAATAAAACCACCGTCAAAGACGCCGGCCTCCAGGATTCCTCTACAAGAATTAATACATCGTCTTCAGACATACGTATTATCTAAAGATACAATGTGGTCTCGTGGTTATCCCGTGGCAATAGAGAGTAATTCGACTGAAATAATGATCTATGTGAATCCGCCGTCATGGCCTAAACCTTGGCCGGCAACTTCGTGGAAAGTAAACGATGAAACAAATACAGTGGAACAAGTGTGTGCGCGTTGTAATAGGAACTTCAGAATGACACTTGACTTGTTCAGGAAGATTGCTTCCACCACTGGGAAATTAGAAAAAAAAAATCCACAACAAATGAAAACGCTATGGGAACTCATGAGATTACCACACATTCTCTTTGCTCAGGAAGAGATTTAATAAACTGGAGCAGGAATGTTACAAAAGTTTCATTGAATTTTCTAAGAAAAAATTTAAACTCATTCAAAAATTTTCTGTTCGAGTTCTTTACCTGGACTGATGACATATAAAAACAGAATTCTCTCTAGGGATGATGAGATCTGTGACGCATATATTAATTATTTCCATTCAGTTTTTATACCATCTTGTTGTCACCGTTCTGATCATCTGAGCGGTTTTCAACAAAATTCAGTTGTTGACATCAATTCCATTAATATTTATTTTAATAACGTCCTTACAGAATTAAAATCTGAAAATGTCCACAAGGGTGCAGGCTACGACGGGGTACATCCCATTTTGATATCTAAATGTGCCGCGGATGTTTCCTCGTATATGGAAAAAGTCCATTGTCACACCCATACCCAAAACCAATAAACAGGACTTAATAGAAGATTACAGACCTATTTCTAAGCTGTGTGTGTTTTGGGTAAGATTCAGGAGAAAATAGTCACAGCTCAAATGCCACACTCTCTACGTAACCTTATTGTCAGTGAACAACATGGGTTCTTCAAGCATCGTAGCGTTGACACAAATATGGTGACTTTCACAGATTTTTTGTCACAAGCCATGGACAATAAAATGTTGTGTACACCGACTTTTCTAAAGCTTTCGATAAAATAAATCATAACTTGCTTATGGAGAAGTTAGCGAATGCCGACGTGCACGGCAACTTTCTCAGATGGATCCAATCGTACATTAGTAACAGAAATCAGGCAATTTTTGTAAAGGGTTACACTTCGCAATTTCTACCAGTTCCATCTGGTGTTCACCAGGGTTCCCATATTGGCCCATTGCTGTTTTTAGTATACATAAATGATATGGGTGATACACTAAAACATAGCCAATATCTTCTGTATGCCGATGATATAAAGTTATACAGAGTGATAAAATCTCCCACCGATTGTCGTAAGCTCCAGGAGGACCTTAATTCCCTAAGCGCTTACTGTTTTATCAATCAACTGTTACTCAATACGGATAAATGTTCCACAATATCTTACACATGTAAAAAAAATATAATATTATATGATTACAATATAAACGGTAAGGTTCTGCAAATAATGACTAAAACTAGGGGGTTGGGTATCATCATGGATTCTGCATTGTCATTTAATAACCATATTGATCACGTAGTTGCTTCGGCATTCAAGAATCTTGGCTTTATATTGCGAATAAGCAAACCCTTTAGTAGACCAAATACGTTAAAAATCATGAACTTCTCATTTGTTGGATCTTTTTTAAATTTTTCAGTCCCGTATGGTATCCATGTTATGAGATTCACATTACCAGAATTGAGAAGGTCCAGAAAAAGTTTCTAAAATCCATAAATTACCACCAAAATAATTTAGTAGAAACATACCGATCTTCTCTTCATTGACACAATTTGATGTCTCTCCGTAACAGGCGTAAAAAGTTGGATATGATATCTATAATTTCTCTATAAAATTCTAAATAATCTTGTTGACTCTCTGTCATTACTCAGTAGCATTTCCTTTATTTCTCATGTTCGACTTCCAATCCGCTCCTCACGCTTGAAACCACTTGTTGTTCCTCCGCGATACCGTAGAAACTATACGTGCAACTCATTTCTATACCATTCCACTAATATTTACAACCATGATTTCACCCATATAGACATCTTTAATATATCGCTACAGAAATTGAAATTATTTTTTTCCGAAATTCTAACTAGCAATGAATTAAAATTATATCAAACAACCCTTATGCCGTATGTATAAATATGTGTGTGTATGTATAAATGTGTGTGATATATATATACATTTAAAAAAACGATATTGAGTCTACTTAGTATCTTGTTACTTGTCAGAAGTTGCTATATGTTCCTTTTTTTTTTGCTTTGTTTATTCTTTTGTTTTGTCCAATATTGTTAACTCAAGTACATCAAGTATTTACATAGCATATTTAAATATATGTAATGGTCCTCCTAATGTTGTTTTACTCTCAAATTTATGAACCAAAAATGTAACGTTTGAATTTGACAAACATAGGAGCTCAAATTATATTATTGTTACATTTTGTAGGCACTATAGGTCTATTATAATTTCAACAATTTACAATCATTTTTTTTTCTATGTACATGACTGTTTAGAGCCTTAAAAAAGCGAAAAAAAAATTGTAGAATTACATGGCTAACATAGCTTATCCTATGGCTAGAGGGTTAGGCGTTCGCACACCACGTTATGAAATGTAAAAATAATAAAGATGTTTTGATGTAAGAGTTCCGCTTGGAGCATAGAGAAGAAAGGGTAGGTTTCATATAGCATTTTATAATCGGCTTGTAGGTGGAAATAAGGTAGGTACGTTAAAAATAAATAATCATATAAGTATTTACTGATACTAAGTTCGTATCACTTAGTTTTTCATTTCCTTTGAGTTCAGGCACTGGATCTATGGGTACTGATGAACCTAGAAAAAGAAAGTATAATTGAGTATATAATATAACTGAAGTTTTAAACTATAATATTTCGCATATGTAAAATGTACATTTTATATCAATGATAGGCATGATGCAATGCTCGTGGTAAGTGGATTCGGGACAGATATGTAGAAATAAGCTAGTAAAGTATGTTCCTCATGGATGCGGACAGTGCAGGATCGATCGTCTCGTGGATCCATTGTGTAGCCTATGTTTAGCAGTGGGTGTCGTACGAGTCTTACGGTATGACTGATGATAATAAAGTAATGTGTGTAGCTGTTACTTACTGTGTGGAAAGTCTGGTGGCAGTGGATTTCCTGCCAACGCAGGAAATGCAGCGGTGTAGAATTGTAGCACTCCGTGTTCACGTGAGCAGTTGTTATGTGCCGATTCCCTTCTAGTGTCGCTGTAAGTAAAGGAATAAATCTTTAACTTTAATCACTAAAAGGTATCTTCTATATTGAATAATACTGGATTGTGAAAATCCTACATCAAATGAAAATGATTGGGTAAACAAGGAATAATTACCTTGGGACGTATTAATAGTGTCAGGTGCTACTGTAGACTCTGCTTGATTTATTAGATCTAGCTTTTTGAATTCTTTTTTTTTATTTATTTAAGGCTACAGACAGTCATATAGAAGAATAATTGTTGTAATTTGTTGAAATTATAATAGACCTATAATGCCTATAAAATGTATTTCTAGCAAAAATTAATGATTTTATCACAATAAATAAGCTTTTACATACATCATAATCGTGAACAATTGTTGACCCCCTAAATCAAATAAAGCTTGACTTTAAATTAAATTTCAAAACGATAGACTCCGGTAAGTACCGGAGTCTGTCAAATCGTGAAGCATCAGGTCAAGTAAAAGTGAGTGCTACTTCCACAGTATGAAATTTTAGGTAACATGAAACAAACCATAATGTGTGAACTTACTGACGAGGTGTTTGATACGAGACTGGATGAGACCACACCACTGCATTGCTCATCGGCCTGAACGGCTTCCACCGACAATACCATGAAGTGTTTGTATCGGGAGAAGAAGTTTGGAGCGTTGAAAAATTTCTCCCAACCACTACAGACGAGAACATGCAGGGCAAGTTTCTCGTCTGTAATCACCAAACCTGATAGTATAATTACGTAGCATTGATTTCTAGTAGTTTGTAAGATAAACTAGTTGGTTGATGATATTCATTAAAACACCAACTGACCTAGCTTCATCTGCTCCATGATGATTTTGAGCGAGGCCTGTGATACGTTGAACGTAGAGTTCTGCTATGGGTATGCTGGCGTGATGATAGGCATCAGGTGGGAGCGGTCTGCTAGCTTCACTTGTACAATAACAAGCTACTCAATACTGTTTACTTTAGTTAGAAAGGGAGTTGACTGGAACTTATATTTTGTTTATTTTCATAATTTTAATTAAACGGACATGATAAATGTTTACGATGAGAGTAAAAAGAAGAACGCCCATTTTAAGAACAGACATTATATAACGGATGTTAAGTAAATGTCATTTCTGAACTGAAAAGTATTTATTAATGTGTATTACAGGCCTACTTGGACCGCTGGTTATACGATGGTTTGCTTACCCTCGGATCTTAGACTAGAAATCCTAAGTTAACTGCGTCGGGGCGCTTCAACAACATGGACCGAGGCCATTGCCACTGGCTGCACACTAGGAAAAACTTGTGCACCAGCGTCGCCGGCAACGCGTTAGGGTACAGCTGGCAGATGCGAGCCACCAGCAGCACCCACGATACTCCGCCCAGCTAGCCCAGTGTGTTGGAGTATATACCGTGAGCTGAGCAAAACACAACATTTATAATCATTCCCAAAATCTTTATCTATTTTTATCCTTGTACAAATTAATTGATTATTTTGAAAAACCTTGCTATTAGTTACTTTTTAGTCTAACTTTTCTTTACTTTTTTTTAATCTAAATATCTACAGATATTTAGACTAAAATCAAAAATACATTAACGAAGATGTTTCTCATATTCGTGTTATTCAAATACGCATCTAGCAGCAGTAACCTATGAGTATTATGAAAGAATGTACACACTTACGTTTAGCCCACAGTTTGATGGCGCGCAGTGTGAGACGGAAGTTGTTGATATTAGGCACCAGCCTTAATATCTCTTCGGTGTTTCGGCAACCGTTCATTGAACGAACGCACTTTTGATGCAAGTTTTTCAGCAGCATAGTGTCATTGAGGTTCAATGAGTCTGTTTATTTAAAAAAAATGAACCTAGCTTATTATGGATTAAAATCCAAAATACTCCCTACTATTTATGTAAACTAAAATTTTTGCTAAATTAAGACATAATCAATCAATTACCTCTGATTTAGCAATCTATGACATAAAATTGATACACACGACAATTTATTGAGACGAGTTCAAAGTTCCCATTTTTACTATTATAATATGCAAAATATTTAAACTTATGTACATTCTTTCTGATTTAGATGGCACCTACGTTGTTTTATATTAAAAGAGTCTTCATCTACTTGAGATCTGAGATCGTCGAAACGTAATCATTGTTAACTTTTTAGTATTTATGTTTGTATCATATTTGTAATGGTTATACTCACCAGGTATCTCTTTGAAAGCTAATCTTGCGAACAACAGGTCTAATTCAATACCGTCAAAATGCATCTTGAGGACCGCCACGAACGCGTCCTCCACCGCTCTCAAGTCTTTCACCTGAACAATATTAAAATTAACATTTATTGTTGATTTTGTTATATTAATCTGTTTATAGTAGGTTTTGTGTAGGCAAGCGCGTCTCACGTCACGACGTCTCAATCATATCCTTGAGCTGTATTGAGATCAAAGCTCTGTTTCAGTTTCAGTCGTCAGCAGCTGAATTTTAAAACGTTTTATTCAAAATTTTATCATTTGAGCTCAGTTATGTTCTAAACTTGTCAAATTCTTGGTTTTGTTTGCATCTTTATTTATAAACACATCCGTACTTGGCACATATTTTTCTACGCTAATGGTGTACAGCTCAGTCAATGGGTCAAGGAGGTTGAATAGGCAATTATCCTATGGTGGAAATATACATCAAATTGTTGTTAGCTTAATAGTAAATATTATTATGAACTCATTTAACCAATACTTTATTTAAAAATATGTGTGATTTCTTTTTAAAATGATAAATAAAATAATTAAATTTTTGCTTTTGACCACGTGATTGAAAACGCACTGGATTGGCTGAATCACAAGTGACGTCAGCTGCATGTAAACACCAAATGTTAATAGAAGTTTTGTAAGGAGATTTAACGTTTTTCGCATTTTTATTTCCTGTGAGACTAAAAGAAGAAATTGTCTTAAAGAATAGAAGATGGAGACCAACTTTGTTAAAGCTGATAGTGGAAACCTCCCTAGAATAGACGCAATCATGGTCGGATTATTCTTCAAAAACAAACCTGATTTTTACGCTCCTGAATTAAAGAACGTGAAAACTGTAATGTAAGTAACTAACAGTATATATCTGTGACGAAATTATTACTTATTTAGGAGTAATAAAGAGATTTGAATAATTCAAGAAGGTTCGTGTCTATTGTTAATATTTTAGGTTATGTTAACCATTTTGTAAGATGTCACTTGTTATGTTACAAATATACTCATATAAATGTACATTTATTTACCAAATTACCATTTCGTGAGCCATAACTTTTTTTATGTATAACATGCAAAAATACACTGTTTTTCATTTTTTTACAGCTCCTCAAGGGAAACCTACGGAGATGACGCTATTGGATATGTACAACTATTCCGTCATTCCGGTATTTGCACAATAAAATGTAGAATGTGCCCCGAACATAAAGTAAGAGCCAAGTGTTATTCGGTGACTCTTGTAGTAGATGAAAACAACAGTAATATTGTAAGCTGCCAGTGTCATGATTGCGCAGCTGCTGCTGGAGGCTGTAAACATGCAGTGGCTTTCCTGATGTGGGTCCATAGGCGCAGTGAAGAACCTTCTTGCACTTCAATAGAGTGCTACTGGAAGAAACCAGTGCTATCTCAAGTCGGCACAATTTTTAAATACATTACTGTGGAACAACTAGTTAAAAAAAAAGTGAGTTATGATAGTCATGATGGACTTCTCACAGAATTTTATCAAGAGGCTAAAAAGAGAAAAATCGTGAGTTGTGAACTTTTAAAATATAAACCTGATTATATACATACGGATATGAAAAGATTTTTACTGCACTATTTCATGCTACAAGTACATAAAAACGGCATTAATAATGTTAATCAGCTGCTAGATTTGTTGAAGGAACAGCTAGATGATAACAATTTAACTTTAATTGAGAAGGCAACAAGGACACAGAGTAAAAGCCATCTGTGGTATGAACTTAGATTTGGCCGAATAACAGCATCAAAGGCATATGAAGTTAGTCATTGTAAAACTTCAGATGGAACGTTAGTAGCTGCAATTATGGGGGCCAAGGCTCCTGAAACGAAAGCCATGAAAAGGGGTAGAATTTTAGAAGCTTCTGTCCGTAAGACAGTTGAAGGTAAACTGAAAAGGAAATTTAAGACCTGTGGGCTTTTCCTTTCAAAAAAATACCCCATGATTGCAGCTACTCCTGATGGAATAATGAAGAATGTCATTATAGAGATAAAGTGTCCAACAAATGAAAATACAAAAAATAATTATATAAAAAATGGAACCATAACTTTAAAATATTTCGCACAGGTTCAGCTACAAATGTTTACGAGTAAAATGGAAAGATGTTACTTCTGTGTAGCTGATCCAGATTATGAAACTTCACATCATGTCGAGATCACTTTAGTGCAATATGACAGAAAATATGTAAGTGAGCTGTTAAACAAATTATCAATATTCTGGATAAATAATATTTATCCATTATTGTCTCGTACTATCAATATATAACAGTGTTATAATAAACTTGGGTGGATACTTGAAATAAAATATTTATTGTTTAATTTGGCATTGTTTTATTTTTAATTTCCTTTGCATAATATAAACACTTAACCAATTTATTCACATCACTCTTCCTACAGACAGGTATACAAACAAAATATAGGAAAATTAGAATTTAAACTTTACTGACAACAAAGTTTCATTTTATAAGGGAATCTTGTAAGTTTATGAGAGCACCGGCTATAATAATGCAATCATCGATTACCTTAAGTATGTTATTATTTATAACTGCATGTTGTTTTAACATGTGGAACTCTCTAATACGTCTTATGACTCTTTCTACATGTATTCGTAAGCTAGCAATAATTTTGGTTTAACGAACTTCTGCCTTTGATAATTTGTAACCTGCAGCTACACTAGGTGGTCGCAGTAATTTTATGCCCTTTTGAGCTAACACTTGTTCCACATGTTTAAAACCTCTGTCAGCTAAGACAATAGTTCCAGGTTCTAAAGTTTCTAAAAAAATCACAATTTTCTATGACTGTTATATCACTTGTTCTACCACCAAAACCAGGTGAAATATAGTTAATCAAACCATTTGGTGTGCAGGACACTAAGTATTTAATAGTATTAGCTTTTTTGTAGTCAGACCAAGTTAAAGCTTGATGAAGAGCTTTTGATGGTTTTTGAATGTCTATTTCTAAACAGTCTAGTATACAGCTTACATTATAATAATTCTGTCTAAATGCAATTGGTAGAGTATTTAGAGTACATTTTTTATTTAGTTTCACAAGGAATGGACGTAATACACTCGCTATTTTAGGTATATTTTTGACAAATAATTTACTGCAATATGATAGTGATAAACCAAAATTGTCTTCTAATTCAGAAAAGGTACTGTTTAATCTGATCTTTTTTAAACAAAGTAAAATATGTTCAATGGGTATATTAGTATGCTTATGTATTAACTGAACTATAAAATAACAATCTGTTGGAATCCCTACATACATCAATGGCTTTTTGTTAATCAGATGCAAAGTATTCTTTAAACTTTGTTCTTTTCTTACATCTACATTTGTCTCTGTAAGATCAGAGTCTGAAATCAGAGTTGATGAGGATGGAGCTACAAATGAAGAATCTTTACTGATGACTGTTTCTGTGAAGGAGGAAATATCACTGTCAGATCGTTCTTCATTGAGGAAATTATTTTTTTTCTTAATATTAGTAACCTGACCTGACAAGAAAGGAATTCTTAGTTGACTATTTTCAATTTTAAATGGAGATGTTGTGGTCGATGTAGTGGCCACTTTGTGAGGGGAAAGTGAAATATCTCTTGTAATTGTTTTTGTTTGTATTGCTTTGCTTCTAAATGGCACTTTGAAAGTAGCTTGGACTTGTTTTTCCACACTAACAATGGGTTCAGTTGACATTCCTTTCTCAGAATATGTTTGTAATGGTTCTGAAAAGACAAAATATTTATTACTTACAGAATCAACTGATGCTTATGCAAATGAATTATTATAGTTTTAACTTGCAAAATGGTACTTTTGCATACTAATATTATAAACCTGAAGTTTGTTTGGTTAAATGCATTAATCTCAAGAACAACAGGACCAATTTAAAAAATTATTTGACCATTTGCAAGGTATCCCTCCCTGACATAGACTATGTAAGTACCACAGGCGAAGCCGGGCAAACTGTTAGTTAATATATATGTGTAAATTATTTCGTAATCAACTTTAGATACCTAAGATTTCCATAGCAGTTTCAGGTATATTACTGTCATCTTTTTGTGTGCTATTTCCAGGCATATCTGCAATGGCTTCAGTTTCTTGAGCAGTTTTTACACGTTTGATATAGGCTGTTCGGGATAAGGTAGTATCTGATTGCCTTTTTTTGCGATCTCTCTGGCAATCAAACTTAGATGGTAAAGTTCCTTTAACCATAAGTATAGTCTGGCTGAACCCCATTTTATATATGGCACATAGTTTGCCATGTCTTGTTCCATCTGCAAAAATAATTTTACCTTATCAAATATATACATATTTATGTCATACTAAATAACCTCAAATATGTAATACAAGGGGTAATTATTACGAAAATACAAAATCGTAAATTGTATACCAAATATATGTATGGTTATGTATAATATATGCTAAATATATGTATAGAATTTTATACTTACGTTAAAATGATCTTCACACATGAAAGCATTAGTATTTGCTGCTATATCTTGCGGCTTTCTACGCGCGAGTATTAACCACTTTTTCCGCATCTTACTGTCTTTTGGAATGCTCACAAACATTTTCTCCGGTGTTTTAATAGATGTATTGGTACATTGTGGCACTACGCACCATTTATAAACCATTTTGAAATAGTAAAATACGTATTTAAGTTATCGCCAAGCCAAATGTATAGGATTTGACAGCTACAACAGGTGTTTACAGGCAGGTGACGTCATGACAACACGTGACCTTCATTTATGGCGTTTATAGCGTTTTGGCGGATTTATTATTTATTTAAATTTTTATGCTGATTTACATAGAAAGTAAAAATATTTATAAAGAATTGTTCAGACTACAATTGTATTATGCCATAATGAACATTTTAACATACTTTTTGAAAACTTGGAAAATAGCCTATTGTGATAAAGGAATTCAGTAGGTGTACTGGTGTTTGAGAAATCGTAGAACGAAGTAAAGAAATCTGACCGCTGTATGTGGCGCGGGGCGACACACAGCGCGTCGATATCGGCACTTTTGTTACGAACCTGTGTTAAATCAAATAATTAGAACGTGCTAAATACTTGATTAATTCTTAAAGTACAGGTCATTTGTATAAGTTGAAATATCTATCATTTACTATTGGTACAAGAACCGATACCAATCTTTCTTGGCCACCACTATTGTTACACATTAATACCTACATACGAGCTAACGCATATGTACAACACTTAATTTACGGGTGTCATGATTTAGTATCGTTACGGGCTGAACGTGATGCGGAAGTACATGAGCAACTAACCAAAAACATTGGACGATATGTTATGTGAACTTACCCCGAGTCTGTACGAGCCGAACGTATATAATTTCCCGCCGACCGTGTCCACGACGCTTGCAGGTACGTTCTTGCTGAACGACTTATCGCAGATCCACTGACGGACCAGCCGATACACTGAGCTGAGCACCTCCATGCGGTGCTGCATCTCCGCCTCTGGCTCGAACGCATCGAGAGGGATGAGGTACTCTTTGAGACTCTTCGTCTTCTCAATATCGAACTGTGTCGGACCTGATGGAAGTAGGATGATGTTGCGATACGTTTGATTTAATTAAAATAATACTAGCTGGTGTTTTTGACTAGATACGACTATCATCATATATACTTTACCAGATATATATCATTACCAAAATCTTGAGTAATTTTAAGTGTAACTAAGTTTTTGTCACATTTTTCATTTCTGCTCAACTTCTAAAAGCCATAGCGTGATGTTATATAGCTCTTAGGCTTACTTGATAAATGGACTATTCAACAAAAAAACAATATTTCAATTCGTTCCAGTAGTTCCTGAGATTTTAGAGTTCAGTCAATCAAATAAACTTTTCTACTTTATTATTAGTATAGATATTACTAAAAAAGTAGCATCTCTCTCTGAGTTTCAAATTATTTAAATGTTTGAGGCATGATATTAGTATGAATATTGATGAGTGATTGTTAAAATCTAGTGTATAATATTTAACACATAAGCAGTACACAATTAAGTTCAGTATGTATACTAGTTGGAATAACTGATTGCTGTTTTGTAATAATGATATTTTCTAACCTGCCAAAGAGATGGCGGAGGTCATGCCCAGCGTTTTGTCAGACTTTTCTTTGTTTGTTGGTTCGTACGGAACGAAGTGTTTCTTCGTCCCCTCAATGTTGATAAATGTTGTCGGACCTGAAGAGAGCAGAATGATGACACAATATGTTCGAGATAAGATATTTTCATAGTAAAAAAATATATATTATGTTGCAGACATCGTGAACTGTTTCGTCATCTAATTTATGTTTTATAATGTCTTATAGTAAGAACAGCCCCCTAATTGTCTAATTTTAAATCTATTGCAATCGCTTTCAGTTTGAAAGGTGTTGCACAACCATTGCTGCATATACAAATACTTTTTTTTTCAACTGTCTTCAGAAACAAGCAATGGTTGTGCAACATCTTTCAAACTGAAAGCGATTGCAATAGATTTAAAATTAAACAATTAGGGGGCAGGACACGATGAAGTGCAAGATATATCCAATATTGATTTAAAAAGACTAATAGATTGATGGAGTTTCGTTTCTTTGTCTTACCTGTGGTAGTGGAGGACGCGCCTAGTGTCTTGAGGTTGTGTATGTTCTGGTGGCCGTTCTGTTTGCCGGTGGGGCGGGCACTTGGGCGGGAAGATTTTAACATGGCCCACATTTTGGTCAGTGCTCTTGGGTTTTTTCTTCTGGGTCTAAAACTAAAACAATTTCATGATCGTCTAGTAACATTAACTTCTGTTTATTCATTACTATCATATTAATGTCCCCACTTTTAACCGGCTAATAATGCTATTATAAATTATTGACCTGTCCAATTATGAAGCTGGGGTAACTTTATTAACCAGGTAGGTAATTATAGTCTTGCATTCCCAAGTTTAATGATAATGTGTAACTTAAAACTCATTATATAATTAATCTAAACTAACGTTAAACTCATAATGAAATTAAATAGTGCTATTATTTAATTTTATAATGAGAAAATATAAAGCAATCAATTACTTGTGTCGTAAATAAGTAATGTCTTTTTGTAATATAAAATAACTATGATTAATATTAATCATGGATTTCAAATGAAAACAATTAATAAACTATTGATGATCTAAATTTTTTGCGTGTAATTAGTGTATATATAAAACTTTAGCAAGGATAGTCGACTGTTTAAAGTGTGTATCACATGTTAGATTCTTCGCAAATGACGTGACCTTGGTTACGGTCTTGATTGATTGATGGCTTAGCTCTCGACTTTCACAAGTGCTTGTAGCAGCCTAGACTGAATAAAGAATTTTGATGTTTGATTTTTTTTTTATTGATTGTTAGGGGGTTGAAATTCAGATACCGATTAGGCAGCTTTTTAAAAAAGACTTTAAAAAAAATTATAGAATACCAAAGCCGCTTTTATATTTAATCAAACTAAATCGTTATTACCTTTTGAATGCCATTTAATTTATACTACTCGATGTCGAGGTCGAGGTTGATTTTATAACTGAAAATAGAATAGCTACCGCGCCGTGCCGGCTAGGTCGGCGAAGAAGAGCGCACTACCCCCCAATACAAGAGTAACTATCTATTTATGATTCAAATTTTATTTAATCAAACTAAATCGTTATTACCTTTTGAATGCCATTTAATTTATACTACTCGATGTCGAGGTCGAGGTTGATTTTATAACTGAAAATAGAATAGCTACCGCGCCGTGCCGGCTAGGTCGGCGAAGAAGAGCGCTCTACCCCCCAATACAAGAGTAACTATCTATTTATGATTCAAATTTTATTTAATCAAACTAAATCGTTATTACCTTTTGAATGCCATTTAATTTATTCTACTCGATGTCAAGGTCGAGGTTGATTTTGTAACTGAAATTAGAATAGCTACCGCGCCGTGCCGGCTAGGTCGGCGAAGAAGAGCGCACTACCCCCCAATACAAGAATAACTGTCTATTTATGATTCAAATTTTATCTAAACCCAGTTCCAAACAGCAAAGAATTACAATAACAATGAAATTAAAAAGCTAGAAAATAATAATGTATTATCAAAGTATCCAATGCTACCCTTTAGTTGGCAACATAAATTTACGCCATAATATTTTTTTTTAACTCGATAGTTACTTTAATCTAGGGAGTATAATACGCGCTGTGAATTTGAAAATATCTACCCACGTGACACGAGGCCGATCCGCCTCTACGGCACTTGTAGAAGAGTTTATTGAACGTCTATCGGCGTTAATAATAATATTGTAAAGTTATTAGAATCATATTTAACTTCAATATATTATATTTAATTTGGTTTCCGCCAAAAAGTTTAAGTTACGGCCGAATCATCGGTGCAGGTCAGTGTAAAATCTCGTCTAATACCCGGTATTATAAGTATATAATAATGCAACGCGATAGTTAAAAAGTAAATATATTTGCCTTATTAAAATTAGAAATATTTAGTTAGTGTTTGATTTGAAAATACGAACTAAATAAACACTATTTTAATTGATTATTATTAATTGATTATTAACCAGAGCACCATCCCATCTCAGAGCGCCAGACACAAAGTGGATTTTTAAATCATTTTGCATTAATTTTTTTTTTTCAATGTAGCATTTTGAATGCAAATTTTGTAAAAATATTTCTTTCTGCTATTTGGGTGGATTGCCTTAACAGTAATGAAAATACTCTCTGTAATCGCTAAAAAGTAACAAGTGCTTGAAAAATTCGATTGAATGTTCAGTTTGAACGAGTTGACATGACATTGGTCGATGTGTAGGAGAATTCAAAACGGGCACATTTAAATCTACCTCACCATGATCTAGAGATGCTCGTTGCGTCGGTGGTGAACTTGAAAATCTGGTCTTCCGAATCTGCGTAACAGATATAGCTCGGATTAGTTTTAAAGTCCAAACTCGACACCAACATGACCGTCGACGACGGTAGTTGTAAACACCAATTATAGCCGCAAACGACGGTAATAATAACATTTTTTATTTTGTTTATTTTTCTTTTTTTTGTAAAACAAGAGTAAGTTATTGTCGTTGCATGACGATAAATTGTATACAGCCAGCATTGAACAGTTAATGATTTATAAAAGGGCATAAACCTTCAACGAAGGGGACTCCTTTTTACTAATTTCATTAAATTCTATTCACTAACAAGTCTAAACTACACTGATAATCGCCAACGATTATATTAATATATTGTATAGGCATAACCACTTACCTTTTTCCGTACAAAATTGTACACTCATCTTGTAACGTTACTAAACGCCCCAAATAAATAATTATTCACTTACCCTCACTATCTATTGATACGCGTTTTCGTTTTGTTTGTTGTAATTTCTTTTTCCTAATCTTTTTTTCAATTCTAGCTTCTTTATCCACACGTTTTCTTTTGTTCCTCATATTTTTTAAAAAGTTGTGCGGACGTGCGGAGGCTGCAGCACGATAACCACAGGACACATGTACTCCAAGAGACGATAACACAGAACGACGAACATGGAAGTCTTAGCGTCCGTCTATGAGTGTGGAGGGGGTAATGTTGCCAGTAGTTGACGAAGATATTGTTAAAAATAAATAAATTTTAAAATTAATTGTATAAAAAGCTTTTAACTTATCGTGCGAGGCTTATAGTAGATGGCGCTACTACACTTTGTTGAACCTAAATCGCAAAGAATGAAGCTGTGAAACATAATAGCCGTTTCTTGTTATTGGTAATTTTTTAATGTTTGTTCACCAACGAAGTAATTTTTGCAGAAAATCAATGAGACCGTGTCAGGTCGGACTAGCAGCTTAATATTTCTTTGCAAATGATAATGCTTTTATTAATATACGACTATATTCTCTAATCTACATAATAAATATTTAAACTTATTCTTCAAAAAATCTATGTACAGTAAATACACTAACAGAGATTATGTTCCTTCAATTATTTAATTAATAGTCATTAATTCCAAAATAACTTATGCCATTCCTTATTTAAGATTAGGGGACGAAGCTCCTTACGCAGTTATATTAAGAAATTCCAATTTTAACCAGCTTCAATATGCAAAAGGATGTGATTCTATGTTCGGCGAGTATACCCACATATTGTAAAACAATTTTCAAAATCCCTTATGGTAAACAGTTTGTGGGCTCGAAGTGGTTCCATGTGAATCCGAAAGCGGATTAGTGGTTTTGTTATTTTATATTATGAAATAACTTGAAGCATTCTGTCAAATAAGGACAATACATAGACGACATACCTATTCATATCACAAACAAAACTTCTATTGAATTCTTAAAAATAACGTCGTCGACGTATTCTAATTACCTACGTGGAGATATTTTGATGAGAAATTAGTTTGAAATGTATTAGGCACTATTAACTAAACGATTGGAGGACCATATATGTACATACAACATAGTTACTAAGTATTAAATTATTAGAATAAAATTCAAACATTATAAATAACAGCTTCTGCACTGTTATTTTGAGCTGCATGCATCGCTGCTTTGGAAGAATACTGTCGTAACTCAAATTGAGTGAATTTTTCAGTAGAGCACTTGAAAGTTTTTTCAAAATCTTCAAATGCTATTTTTCTAATCACTGCGCAAATGTTGATGAAACTTGAATAAGAACACGAAATATATTGCAGTTTATGTTTATTAAATGTTTTTAAGAAAATCATACTTAATTACTACTAAATATTGAAAATAACTACTAGGTCTTCAGACTTATAACAAAGTAACACATAAATTTATGAAGATTATTGGCTCATTCCAAAAAATACTAGAAAAAAATAAGGTTATATTTAATAACAGTAGTGTTTCAAGAAATAATTCAATACTGATACATTTTGAGTTGTGACATCTTAGCATTAGTAATTTTAAATCAATAGTTTTACAATAAAATAAAGTATTAACTGGATTTACAACAAGTAATAATCTTACTAAAATTAGAAAAATAATAGAAAAATGACGAAGTTTAAAATTTTTAAAAATAATTGATTATTGTAGCATGGAATCTTATAAATTCTGGAAAAAAAACATAAAAATTCAAAAAAGCTCAAAATTTAACAATGTAGCTTTTATCAACTTTAAATTTTAAATCAGTAAGTTTTACTGATTATTTGTTTGCTAAACTTTTGACATCATAAAATCGGCATGGGTCAGTTCATATAGTTTGTAGTCTTCTTCGCACTTCGTATTATCTGTGTGTATAGATCGCACTAGATTTGGGGCTTCTTTGGATTTGATGCTCTATAACTGAGTCGACACTGACACCCTCATTTTGCATATGACCCTTTATGAGAAATTTATAAAAAATTGAATTTATAAAATCATGGTTGTGCACTGCATCAAATAATGATTTTTCTGCTGGCCGCAGCAATTTTCTGAGTAAAATATCTCTTCTCTTTTCTTCTCTTCCCAACTTTCAATGTATTTTAGTACACCGGTACCAATTTCAATAGCTCCACGTTTAGCTTCGCCTTCGTGCCATACAGTAACAGTTCTCATCTTTGGTTTTAATATCATAAATAGTAAAATAATAACAGTTCAACTTGGAAAGGTAATAAAATGTCGACGTATCACCTCAGGCCAAGGCATTGCAGCTTATAGATCATAAACGGATACTATACAATTGTCCAGAGTATAGTTTTTGCCCTCATCTTTTTGATCCCTTGCTAGTTGTTTTTTGT